ACACGGCCTGCGTTTGCCCCCGCGTGCTGCCGGTCCCTCCTCGCTCACATCCGAGGCGAAGCGGCAGCGTTGCCGTGGGGAGGAGGTGACGTGGAGGGGACGAAGGTCTCCCCGGAGAAATGGGAGCATCTGGGTGTCACCAGATCCAGGCATCAGCGGGATGCTGAGCTCTGCCTGCTCCTTTCCTCCTTGTCCTGCCCTCTCAATCCTGGGACCATTCGTGGGCACATCATCCACCGCTGACCTTAGGGACCCTTAGGGAGAAGGGAGGGGGCAAAAGGACATCTCTGATACACCCAGACCCCAAACCTCACAGTCAGGAATGGTGCAAACATCTCACCTGGGAGGGTTTGGGATGAATGTGGGGGAAAGCTCTTTGGGTCAGTCCTCTCAAAGTTCCCTTCTCATGTGTGGAGGCTTGCTCCAAACCCAGGCTCCCTTCGTCCCCGTCACTGTCACTTCTGGCACATCTCCAGCCACAGCTGGAGCCCAGCACACCTTCCCCTGTAGATACCGTAGCACTTGGAGAAAGGGTCTGGACCCGATGGCTCCAGGCACTGAGGTTTGCTGTCAACTCATGGGACAGGTCCAGGGAACCCTCCCTGTTCTCCATCCTTGGTCTTGGGGAAGCGGGTGGCAGCAGCGTAGCTCCTGGGGTGTTTTGAGCCTCTCGCACTCGTTTTTATTCAATGAGGACTTCTCCCATCCCTGCTATTGCTGTTCACTAGCAGGGATTAGAAGAGATGTACCAAAGGCAGGTGACACCAGGAGGGTGTCTCAGGCTGCCCCAAAGTTGTTCTCATGGTGGTTCCTAAAATTGCTGCTCTCTTCCAAAGAAGGGAGATTGACCCAAATCAACTAATCGGGAGGGGTTGACGCAAATCAGCTAATGGCCTGTCTAATTTCTGCTTTCGCAGGTGGTCGCTTTTGCCTCGCTATTCTTCATCCTGGTCTCCATCACAACCTTCTGCCTGGAGACGCACGAGGCCTTCAACATCGATGTCAACGTGACGGAGACCCTCGTGGTTGGCAACACCACGATGATCCTGCTGACGCATAAAGTGGAGACGGAGCCCATCCTCACCTACATCGAAGGGGTCTGTGTCCTGTGGTTCACCCTCGAGTTCCTGGTTCGCATCATCTGCTGTCCAGATAAGCTTCTCTTCATTAAAAACCTGCTCAACATCATTGACTTTGTGGCCATCTTGCCCTTCTACCTGGAGGTAGGTCTCAGTGGCCTGTCCTCCAAAGCTGCCCGGGACGTACTGGGCTTCCTACGGGTGGTCCGTTTCGTCCGGATCCTCCGGATCTTCAAGCTGACACGGCACTTTGTGGGTCTCCGGGTGCTGGGCCACACACTCCGGGCCAGCACCAACGAATTCCTGCTCCTCATCATCTTCCTTGCCTTGGGGGTCTTGATTTTCGCCACTATGATCTACTACGCCGAGCGGATTGGAGCCAAGACGTCCGACCCCCGCGGGAGCGACCACACTCACTTTAAGAACATCCCCATTGGGTTCTGGTGGGCTGTGGTCACGATGACGACCCTGGGCTACGGCGACATGTACCCCAAGACCTGGTCAGGCATGGTAGTGGGGGCTCTCTGTGCGTTGGCCGGGGTGCTCACCATCGCCATGCCCGTGCCCGTCATTGTCAATAACTTTGGGATGTACTATTCATTGGCCATGGCCAAGCAGAAGCTGCCAAAGAAGAAGAAAAAGCATATACCCCGTCCGGCCCCACTGGACTCCCCTACCTTCTGCAAATCTGAGGAAAACTCCCCCCGTAACAGCACCCAGAGCGACACTTGCCCGTTGGCGGTAGAGGAGGGGGCGACTGAGCGGAAACGGTCAGGTGAGACCCCAAAGGTGGGGCAGAGGGAGGGGGAGACCTCTGGGAGCCCCCAGGGCAGTGTTTTTGGTCCCCTACGTCCCAGAGTCTCTGGGGGCTGCCCTGCCGCAGGACGCAGCCCCCAGCTCTTGGGTTGGTGAGAACGTGGTGCAGAAAGGGCTGGGGCCCTTGGGTGTTGGGGTATTGGGTGCCGTACTGGTGGGCCAAGATGTTGCAGATCAAGATCCCTGCTCTAGGCATGGGGGGAACGGCCATATCCTGCTCTCCTAATGGCATAGATCAAGTCACTGTGGTGTGGTTCAAGGTGTCCCTACCTAGCCCACCTCTTCCTCACGCCGACAGAGGTAAGGCCATTTGCCCGATTCCCATCTTAGCCTGGTAATGCCCTTGGGGTAGATTTTCCTTTGCTTTCTCCCACCGTAAATCAGGGCAAGCTTCACCAAAATGGATAAATCCATGGATATTCATTGGGCCTTGACCCCACCTCCCCATTCATCTTCTAGTAGATGTAGCATCCCTGCACGGCAAAGGTCAACGCCTTGAAACAGGAGGGACCACGGTGGGGTCGTGTCCTGCACTGCTGTGGCATTCACTGAGGTCAGCCCTGAGCAGCCGCACATCTGGCCACGTGTGTTTAACAGTGACGGTCCTTCACCCGTGGGGACACAGGGAGCTCCAGACACCCCAGAGAGGTGTTTCCCTTTATAAATCTCCCGTTTCCACGTGCCTACGCATCCCGGCTGCCCCAGGAGCCCTGGCAGTGGGGAGCAGTGAGAGTCACTGTCCTGCTCTGGAGGAGGAGGTCAACCCCATCCCTTCAGCCCAACGCCCATCCAGGAGCTCAGGTCAGAGCCTCACCTGGCATAGCATCCTCTCAGCTAACGAACCATGGAGTCAGATGACGTAAATTAGGATTCACCACTAATCTGAGCAGCCCATATCTCAGCAAGGGTGAATTTTGGAGAGCTAATTCCCACCAATTAGGTGGGTGGATCTCAAAGACCAGGGGTGTTTCTTCCCTGGCAAACCCTGCTTGGCTTCATGCAGGGTAAGGGCTGCTGTTTGCTGCTTGGGATTACAATCTGGTATGGTCCTGCTCCCCTGGTCACTCTAATTTTTCATGTCCAGGCTGGGATCAGTATCTGAATTTGTGGGTGTTGCTTTGGGCCATCATCAATCTGGTCTTTTAGCTCCTCGCATGGTCTAAGCAAACCCTTCTGGTCACCCAAGTGCCTCGTCCTCTGGCTTTATTGACTGCTGATGTGTCTCTGCCACCTTCTTGCAGACTCGAAGCAGAACGGTGAGGCCAACGTGGTGCTGTCAGACGAGGAGCAGCCGCTGTCACCGACCGACGAGGCGAAGCGACCCATGCGACGCTCCAGCACCCGGGATAAGAACAAGAAATCCTCCACGTGCTTCCTGCTGGCCACGGGTGACTTCTCCTGCGCAGCGGATGGAGGCATCCAGAAAGGTATGGCTGATGCTGGAGGTATGATCTGATCTGTGGGCTGCGGAGGGTGAGATGGAGGAGTGAGGTGGAGGTTTGTTGCATCGATCCGAGACAGTGGTTCATCTCTCCATCTACCTGCCTGGCTGTTGTCCTCTGCTCCCTAAATCCACTTGTCCTCTTGCCTCTCCATCTGCTTCATCTCCGTCCACCACGTCTCTCCGTGCTAGCTCTATCCGTTTTGTTTTCTCCTCCCCCAAGTTCTCCTCACCTTGGTTGCCACCATTTGGGGTCTGGGACCCCCATGCTGGCTGCACTGCCCTCCTTGGGGACAGGTCTGTCCCTTTGCTCCCCAGTTCTCCAGCTTCTTCTGTCCCTCCAGCTCTTCTCCCTGGGCTTCAATCACCCATCCCGGGGTGGTGTGAAGGGGAACATCTCCCCTGGGGATGTGGTGAGGTTGTGACTGAAGGTGGTCAAAAGGTTTTCAAGAGGGAAAAAAAAATATAATCCACAGGCTCTTCCTTTCCTCTCCCCCTCTGATGTCTTTTGGTGGGTTCGAGCGTGGGGAGCTGCGACGTGTCAAGTGCTGCCTTGCCAAAAGCACGGGGCTGCCAGAAAGGCTGTCTCCTCTGGGTTTGGAAAGTGAGCTTTGCGAAGTGTTGAGGTTTTCTATGGGAAGCTGTGGGGGAGATGAGTCGGGAAAACACAAAACTCTTCTTCCCGTGACAAAAACAACCATCCTCTTCAACCTGGTCCCTTCGCATCATCCTCCAGCCTTCTCCGCTCCACCAGCGAGCGTGCCCTATGCCCATCTCCCAGCACCCCAACCCTTGGGAGGGTAAATCTAGTGCCTGCCTTGAGCCACAACATCCAGCTGCATCCTCGATTGCTGGGAAAATTCTTAGGACATGGCTCAATTTTTTAATTCTGCAATTTTTCTGGTGTGTCCAGGGTGGTGTGGGATGATGTAGCTGCAGAGCTGACCTACCTCTACCTCCTTGGTACCATCTAATGCCAGTTACTGACAGGGAACGGTGCGTGTGAGCTGGGACCGGGCAGGAGGAAAGATGATGTGCTCCATCTCTGAGCTGCACGCCAAGACCTGCCGGCTCCTGGTGTTGGTGCTTTGGAGGCCCTCAAGGCTTTGTTGCTGTAGCGCTGCTTGGGATGGTAAAGACTGGATGGGCTTGGGACACGGGGAGGTGTTTGGGGACAATGGCATTTATTACATTAGTAGAAGCAAATTGGTTACTTCCTCCTGGGAAATCAAGGATTCCCTTTGCATTCCTTCTCAACCTTGTCCCTTAAAAAGAGGAAAAATATAAAAAGCTTTGCTCATCTTTGGGCAGAAGGGTGCTAGACAAATATTTGCTGGAAATGCCCCATGTTTTTTTTTCCTGGAGGTGCCTTTTTCTGTGAAGTTGGTCTCTTTTCTTAACGCCTCCTAATGCGAAGAGGTGAGGGGGCTCCAGTCCCGCTCCAGACTGGGAGGAATGCTGAACTGGAAGGGAGGAAGGAGAGGGATGAAAGCCAGTGCTCATCTTCATCCTTACAAGATACTCAAGTCAGGCATTTCTTCAACTGAAGCATTTGAGCTTGGTCCCCCCTGAAGCTGGGTGAAGATGTAAGAGCTGAGGACCCAGTGCTGCTTTCGCTGGGCTCCCAAATCCCATCGCTTGGTTGCAGGAGACCAGGAGGTTCTTCTCCTTGCGTGGTGGCAAAGAGAAAGAGCTTTTCGAAAGGGCCCTTTGGTGATCTTCCTTGGTTTGTTCTGGTGTCTTTCCTGCAAATGTCAGAGTGGTTTTTACAATTCAAAATAGATGTGTACGTGGGTCATTTACCCCCACCTTGCTGGTTTTGCACCTGGAGAAATGTGGATCCGGTGTCCAGAAGGGCTTGAGTGATGCAGGAGACCTTTTGGGCAGAGGGAACCTCAATATTTGTGTCCTTCTTGGGGATGGACCGGTGAGATGCTGTCCCGGGAGGTCAGGGCTGATGGCTTCCCTGGTGAAATGCTCTCGTGTGGTCAGGGTTAGCGGTGACCGGAGATGCCCAGAGGGGCAAAGCAGCCTCCTGTGCTCCAGCCAAAAGCCGTTGGGAGCCACAGGGGCCCCTCTTCCCTCGGTCCTGATTTATCGCCTGCTGAGGCTGTTTGTTCTGGTACTGGGATGTTGGCAGCTCTGCAAATTGAGATGAGCTTGGTTCTGAGCCTGACTTGCTGATGGCCATCTGTCAGATCCTGGGACAGGTACTGCTGTCTGTACAAGCTGTGGAAATCAGGAGATGGAGCTGGTTCAGGAACATACTGCAGATCTCAGCATCCATCATGGTTTGAGCTCGATTCCAGTGGTTGGTCTCGTTGGGGCAGCTCAAAGAGAAGAGCTACCCCTGCCCACCACCCCTTGGACCTGGGTCCTGAAGAAGACCGACCTGGATTGCAGTGGATTGCCACATAGCATGTGTTTCTTGTCCCCGTTGCTGCTTCCAGTGGTGTCACCTTGCTCCCTTGCTGCTGGGGACGGCTTCAGAGCCCTTAGCTCCCTTCAGCACTCGGGTCCTGCTCAGCACTTCCCCAAAATGTGTCCTGCTGGGGTCCAGACACCTTGGCATGGGGCTGTCTTGGGATGTGAGCCCACGTCCTCTGCTTGGATGGAGGCATATGGAAGCAGGATGAGTCCAGCATCCCCTATACCAGCGAGCTTTGTTAGGGTGGTCTGGGCAAAGGTAGCGATCGAAACCAGGGTGGGATTTCAAGAGGAGCCACAGGCAATGGCGTTAAATGGAAGGAAGGAAGGGGATTTACCCTCCTGGTAGGTCAGCTCTTCCAGCACCTCCCTTTGATGGCCTGCTGGCGTGGCAAAGCAGCAACTTTTGGGTTGGTTGCCAGAACCCAGAGCATCATGCCACTGATTTTGACTTTGTCACTTGCTATTAGTGCAGGGCCGTGACCGGCACGTGGCTTAAGCGGTGTGGCATCGAGCGTGGGGATGCTCACGTGAGCATCCACCGGTGATGCTCGGCTGCGGGGCGGAGGTGGGGGGGCAAAGCAAGGACAAGCCCACGTTTGCACGGGGAACACGCGTGCATGCAGCACGCAGACGAGCGCCAAGCCACCATTATAAACAAGCACAGGCGTTCCTGGGCGATGCTGCCTGCCTGCATTCCCCCATCCCCATCTGCCGCCGGCTCAAAGCGTGTGCGAGCGTGCACGTGTGCTCGGAAGCTGCGAGTGTTCGCATATGGGGAGCGGGGCATTGCCAGGTCCTCGGGAAGAGCCCCCGGGGGTTACCCGCTGCCCCACCGCTCTGTTTATAAGATGCCTCTATCCGGCTCCTTGGCAACAAACTCATTTATAAAGCAATCCCGGTGACCTCAGTTAACACCTCTGCGAGTTGCTGGGATACCGGCTCCGTTAACGAACAGCATCGGTGGTAATTAGCAGAGCACAACTCGCCGGTGCTTTGCAGCTTGACTTCATGGTGGCACTTGGCCCTGAGCTTGGTGGAAAACCTTGATGACCTTGTGGGATGGAGTCCTGAGCTCCTTCCCGAGTGCTCCCGTGAGTGTGGCTTGGGAATAAATTGATGGAGGAAATGTTGGGCTCGGGGCAGGTTTGCCCTCGGAGTCCCGTTGCAGAGGGGCCCTGGGGCAATCAAGCATTTTTCTGAAGTGCTGCCCCAGACTGTGATGCTTGGGACTGACTCAAAACCGGCTGCGTCATTTTGCCCCCGTTCCTGTGCCCGTTTCCATCCTTTGCAGTGATCTGAGCGAGAGGGCAAAGAGCATCCCTGTAAAGTGCTCAACCGCGTCAGCGGGTCCTTTGCATCGCCAAGACGACTTCCAGCAAGCCCCGACCCCGTAACACCTCTCTGCCAAACTGATGTTGTTTGGATGCTGGAGCCATCGAGAACCCCAAGCTTTCAGGGACCGGTTGCATCTCGGCACGATTGCTTCCCACGCACGTGGCTCAGGGTGGCAGGGAAATGCGTGAGCACTTCAAAGAGCCTCAGCGCTCCCGGGAAAAGAGCAAGGTTTGCTGAAGGATGAGCCCGATGCAGGGTTTTTTGGGGTGGGTTTTTTTTTTTGGGGGGGGGGCAGAGGGGGGGGCTTTGAT